CACTTTTAACTTTTAAGTTTGTGATAAAATACAAATATTTATAGTGAGTTTTAAAATGTTACTATATTGGAACAAATAAGATCTTGTCAAAGATCCTTAAAAAGGATATTGAAATTAGATTTTTTTTAATTAAAAAAATTATCCAATGTACTTGGTAAATACTGGACATGGGAAATCAAATAGCCTTTTAAAAGAGTTTTACTTTCTCAAAGTGGGGCATTTAAATAAGTGCAATTCTATTTTCATTTGTAAAAAAGACTGAAAATTAAACTTAGAAATAAACATTGTTAATAGTTTGGTGTATAGTCTTCCAGACCATTCCATGCCTCTGTGTGTATGTATAAAGCAAAATTATAATGAGGCCAACAGTACATTGTGAATAATTTTCTGTATATGTATTCCTACATCATACTTTTTTTAATGGCTGCAAGATTTTCCTTTGTTGGGATAGTTAATTATTTAACTAATTCACTATTACAAGCGAGTCATATGTTATAATCTCTCACCTTTATAAATACCCTGTTTCCCAGAAAATAAGACAGTGTCTTATATTAATTTTTTCTCCCAAAGTTGTGCTAGGTCTTATTTTCAGGTGATGGCTTATCTTTCCATGCGCTAGGTCTTATTTTCGGAGGATGTCTTATTTTCGGGGAAACATGGGTAGCTAGAGGCCTGGTTCATGAAAATTCATGCACTGAAGGGGGGAGTCCTGTTAGCCTGGCCTGCCCCCTCTCACAGTCTGAGAGCCCTCAGGGGTGGAGGAGACCCGGCGATCAGGGGAAAGTGATGCCCCATCACACCTCTGCTGCTGCCACTGCCGGCAGCGCAAGCCTGTGGGCATTGCCATCTTTGTGAGGGCATGATGGTCAATTAGTATATTCCCTCTTTATTAGATAGGATGGTGTGATGAACATCTTTGTGTATACATCTTAAATGCTTATCTGTTTATTTTCTTAGTATAAATTTCTAAAATTAGTTTCTTTTTAAAAAAAAATACTTTTGTTTCTTGATTTCAGAGAGGAAGGGAGATAGAAACATCAATGACGAGAGAGAATCATTGATTGGCTGCCTCCTGCACACCCCCAACTGGGGATAGAGCCCACAACCCAGGCCTGTCCCCTGACTGGGAACCAAACTGTGACCTCCTGATTCATAGGTTGATACTTAACCCCTGAGTCAGGCTGGCCAGGCTAAAATTAATTTCTTGACAGTCACCCCCTCTTCCCCCCCAACCTCCTGCCACCAATGCTTAAATCTGGTTTCTTTGGTTATTATAGAAAATCTTTGACTTTGGCTCAGGGCAGATTTGAGGTTTCCTCTTTTTCAGTGTGAATAGTGATTATTGCATACAAGGCAAACATACAATGATTGTTAACATTACAGGTGAAATTCCCCTTAGGGAATTCTCAAGAGGCCAAAGCAACAGAAAGATTCCCAAGCAGCTGGATATGTACAGTGGCAGCCGCCCTCACTGAGAATGGAGGAAACCTAGTTATGAGGAATGTACCTAGTCACTGGGACATATGCCTTCATCTGTCACCATTATCCTCTCTATTACCATGGTGTTTAATCTACATTTAAGAAGCAATGCCTTTATGGGACCATTTGCATCATTTTTCTAGGAATTCAGTAATTAAGTAAAAATGTAGTTTAAAAAGAAAACTGAACGTTTGCTTCATCATATGGTAGACATTTCAAGGAAAAAGAAACAGTCTTAAATAAAACAATTGCATTTTCTGACTCTGTTATTTTAAGAGTTGTTTTCCTGCCCTAGCTAGTTTGGCTCGGTGGATAGAGTGTTGGCCTTGGACTGAAGGGTCCTGGGTTCCATTCCTGTCACAGGCACATGCCCAGGTAGTGGGCTTGACTCCCCCAGTGAGGGTGTGTGCAAGAGGCTGCCGATCAATGATTTTTTTCTCATGATTGATGTTTCTATCTCTCTCTTCCTCTCCCTTCCTCTTTGAAATCAATAAAAACATATTTTTAAAAAAAGAGTTATTTTTCTATTTACTGTAATTAAAAGTCTTGGGCTAAATTGTAACCACCTAGGTCACTGGTCGGCAAACTCATTAGTCAACAGAGCCAAATATCAACAGTACAACGATTGAAATTGATTTTGAGAGCCAAATTTTTTAAACTTAAACTTCTTCTAATGCCACTTCTTCAAAATAGACTCCTTCAGGCTGTGGTATTCTAATACCAGTTCTTCAAAATAGATTCACTCTTCTGTGAAAGACTGGAAGAGCCACACTCAAGGGGTCAAAGAGCTGCATGTGAGACGCAGTTTGCCGACCACTGACCTGGGTGGAGGGTGAGAGTGCGGTAAAGGCTCAAAAATCCCATGATGGTAGTTTGTTGGGTTGGTTTGTGTCCCTCTCCTCCCTTGCATCTGGCTTAGATCTTTCATCACAGTCTTATTAAGTATTTAATAAGTATTTGCTATATGAATACAAATATTAGATTGTCTGAAAGGCCTATAGACAGCTGTCTGAACACCTCTCAGGGGTAGTTTAATTTATTGCCTAATATTAAGACTCCATGCTATACATATTCATTTCCCATTCATTCATCCACCCCTCCATTCATTCTGTACAGTGCCTTCTGCGTGCCAGGCACTGTTGCTAGGTGCTGCTGGCCAGGAGGACATGCCCTTGCCTCATAGAAAATGTAATCACACAGCACACATTATTTATAAGAGCCGCAACAGTCTCCAAAAAGTCTCTCAGCTTCTTTTTTATGGAGGAAAAACAAGCCAGAGTTTATCCTCAGTTTCAGGATTTCACTGTGTATGTGTGCGTTTGGTGCAGCCCTGAGAGTCCCCAAGTGCCCCTGATCCTTTCAGCGTTTGGCCTACATCGTGACTGTGAGACGGAGGCCTTTGTGCAGTGGAGTGGGATAATATCTCTGGACTCGGGTTAACCTATGCAGCATGGGAAATGTTAGAGAGAAAAGCCCTTTAAAGCACTGTTAAAAGTTACATGATTCCGTGGGGGAAAGCAACGCTCCATTACAAGAGACCAAAGGCAGGCCAGCCTGGATGGGGATTATTGCTGAGTTTGTAAGCAACAGGCCTCCACTCGACCAGCCCACCCGCCATAATACGGCAAAGAGCAGGAGCAGGAGCTCACCAGCAAGGGTAGGGGCGGGAGACAGGTCATGGACATTGTGGATTTGGGTAGAAACACCACGGCATGGTATTGTTTCCTAGTTACTGCTCCCACTGTGCCTTGTCAGTCTGCTTCCCGTCCCCACCTCTACTCCAGTTTGCCGACTCTAAAGCAGTGGCTCCCACTGTGGGACACACTCCCTACAGGGGGTCAAATTGATTTTTTATTTTTAAAAAATATATATTTCATTAATTTTTTACAGAGAGGAAGGGAGAGGGATAGAGAGCTAGAAACATCGATCAGCTGCCTCCTGCACACCCCCCCCTCCCCACGGGGATGTGTCTGCAACCAAGGTACATGCCCTTGACCAGAATTGAACCCAGGACCCTTCAGTCCGCAGGCCAACACTCTATCCAGAGTTTCAGCTCAAATTGATTTTTAAGGGGGGCAATTCAAGAATGAGTTATTAACAGTGAATTTTTTCGCATTTCTTATGGTTCTAGGGGCCTCATAAACAGTATATGGATATATATTGTGACATATTTATGCATTTCAGTTCTCTTATATGTTTTGAAACTTTATTTGTTACTTTTTCATATCATTTCTTATTTTTTAAAACAATTTCTTAGCGATTTCTTCCTCAGAACTTTACCTGTCCTTTCATTCTCTTATTTTTCTCTTTCATGGATGCCATGTTCTTTGGAAGTTTGTTTAGCCCAGCTTAATGACTTTTCAGGCTTCCTCCATGTGAATAGTTCACTTTTTGAATAGTAAGAATTATATGTCACAGAGGGGGCATCAGGATTTTAGAGATGCTTACGTGGGGCCTGGCCAGAAAAAGGTTGGGAACCACAGCTCTAAAGGATCTCTGATCAACTTTGCAAATGTTGTCAATTTGCATCCACCTTCATTTTGGGACAGTCTTATTCTGGTGTTTAGCTCAGTTTTCTTGATTTTAGGGCGCCATGAAAACTCTTGAGTCTGTTTGCTTTGGCCCCACGTCAACCTCCAGCAGCTCTGAGAGGGCGTGTGAAGGGCATTCTGGGATGCAGAGCCCCATCCCTCGCGTTTAGCAGCTGCTGCTTCCCCACTGGGCAGCGAGGGCATGAATATTCCCAGTCCCTTCTTTTGGTGATTGAAGCTACTCAGGTGAACAGGGACAGGCTGTCCATGTCCTCTGAGAGCAGTCATTATTCTGTGTATTATATCCCAGGACTTACTATTTAATACTGGATGTTGGTTAACTTTTTACCACCTTCACCCATATTATCTCCCATCCCCACCTTCGACAGCCACCAATCTGTTCTTTGTATCTATCAGTTCAGCCTTTTTCCATGTTTAAATTGGGTTGTTTTCTTATTGAAATTTAAGAGTTCTTTGCCTATTTTGGAGAATTATTTCTTTCATGGATTGTGCCTTTGATGTTATATCTAAAAAGTCATACTTAGCTCTGTCCTGTGTCGCTCAGCGGTGAAAGCATTGGCCCTCACACCACAGGTCACAGATTCAATTCCCACTCAAGGGCATATACCTGGGTTGCCCTCTCTGGTTGGGGCATGTGCGGGAGGCAGCCAATCATGTGTCTCACATAGATGTCTCTCTCTCCCCTCCCTTCCCCACTTCCTTCCATTCTGTCTAAAAATCAATGGAAAAAGAATATCCTCGAGCATGGATTAAAAACAAGAGCAAGGAAAAGTCATCCTTAAAAAGCCATCTATGTTTTTCTCTTTATTCTATCTTCTAGGACTTTTATAGTTTTTAATTTTTACACTTAGGTGTATGATCCACTTGAGTTAATTTTTGTGAAGGGTGTAAAGTTGATGCGTAGATTTATTTTGTGTGTATGGATACCCATTTGTTCCAGCACCATTTGATGAGAGAATAAGATAGTTCTATCTAATTGATAGGAAACTGAAACAAAAAGAGCTTAAAGGGCCTTGCTCAGGGTTATGCAGTTAGGAAATGGTCTCTCTGGCTCTAAGGTTCATGGGCTCATGAGCTCTAGGCTCCTTACTGAGCTGGACTGCTCCTTTGCAGTAAGACTAACGTTGGCATTCAGGGCTGCAAGTTACAGCCTGGTATCTCTTTTTGCTGCAGTATAAGGAAATGATCTTAAATAGTAAAAGTTCAGTCTGGGAAGGTGAATTAACACTTGCTGAACATCCAAGGCTGTTTTAAGGGTCCTACAAATAAAGCTCTGAACTGAAGTCACGAGAAGGCTGTCTCTTCTCTTTCTGCCTCACATCTCTGATTCATCCCAGTGGCTTAGTTTTAGTTTTTCCTCTCTCCCTTGTCTAGCTGTCATGATTCACTTGCTAAGTTCCCACTTATATTTGTGAGATGGATGCCAAGAAATGATACAACTATGCTACAGTCAGGAGAACTGAAACCTGTGCAACTGTGAGAATCAGGAGTGGAATAGCCACCTGGGGGAGACTTTTTCTGTCCCTTGAAAAGGGAATTTATTCTTTCTCTTCTCTCCAGTGCTGAAACCCCTGGGGGTTTTTCTTTTGTGGTCAGTTACCATCTCTGAAATGGAATTCATGTGATAATAGTTGAGTTATTCTGAAAGAGAATCTGGACATCAAATGTATAATTTCTGCTTTTAAAAAAAATTCTTTATTAAGGTAACACATTTTTGTATTGTGTTAAAACTTTATGAAAGTGTGTATCAAGCAAATATAAATATTCTTAATTTTATTTCCTAGAGATAAACAATGTTAATGTTTTGGTGTGTATGCTTTCAGACATTTTCCTATTCAGTATGTAACTTATTACCCAAACTGGGATACATGAGCTGAAATACTACCATGACTCCAGGGCACTAGGCATTAACTGGCACTATTTCAAATAATCCTCTTGCTGTAGTATTTGAGTTTTTATATCTACATCTATGGAAACATCTAGATATACTCTCTATATATCTACTAGAGGCCCAGTGCATGAAGTGCTTGCACGGGAAGGGTCCCTAGGCCTGGCCAGCGATTGGGGTCGATAGGGGCCTCTGGCTGCTGGCCGGGGCCTTCCTTCCTCCGGCTGTCAGCTGCGGGCCGGGCCTTCTTTGTTCCATGCCACCCCTTGGTGGTCAGCACACATCATAGCAAGAGATTGAACTCCAGGTCTCTCGGTTGAACTCCTGAGGGGACACTTTGTATACTAGCCATATATATATATATATATATATATATGTATATATTTTATTCACAAAAACCATACACTTACCTTTCTCCATCTCCTGTATCCATGTCAACCGTCCCTTTGAGTGTAGGCAGGATTCAGTGACTTACTTCTAGAGTAGAATGGAACTCTATGGAAGTGATGGTACCTTACTGCTGAGATTAGGTTATAGAGACCGTGGCTTCCATTTGGGGTGCGCGCGCTCTCTCTCTCTCTCTCTCTCTCTCTCTCTCTCTCTCTCTCTATATATATATATATATATATATATATATATATATTGGATCCCTTGTTCTGAGTGAAGTCAGCTGCTATGTTGTGAGGAATCTTAGGCAGTTTAGGGAACTGAGGTAAGGAACATGTGGTAAGGAACTGAGGTGTAGGGTCAGCAGTCAGCAGGGATCTGAAGCCAGAGGCAGCCAAGCAGGTGACCTGGCCAGGGGATCCTCTGGCTTTGGGGGACTGAAGCCTCAGCTGACAACTGGTCTGCAACTTCCTGAGAGCCCCTGAGCCAGAGCCGTCCAGCTGAGACACTCCTGACCCTCAGAAACTCTGAGAAAATGGGCCTTGTTTGGAGCTGCTGCCTTTTGGAGTAATTTGTTATATCGTAACAAATAACACATATTTTTAATAAGTAGTGAAATCATATTAAAAATTGTTTTTAACAACATCCTTTTTTTTTCCACCCACAACATATTTGTCAGTAGCTATCTCGTTTTAGTTTGCACAGCACAAAGCAATACTATCTCAAAAAAGATGGAGAGAATATAAAGTTCCTTTTTAGGGTTGAACATTGTGTTTTTCTTTTTCTTTTTTTTATTTTTAAAACAAGGATGATTTAACTAACATCCCAGAAATACGTTTTTCTTCTTCTGCAATTATCTCCACAGGAAACCTTCCTAAAGAGAACATTTCTGGGTCACGAAGCTACATGTTTAATTTTAGGTTGATATTTACAGATTGTCTTGCAACTGAAGTCATCTTCATTGTGACCAGCAGCCTGTTGGCTTTCCAGTGCTGAGTATTACTAATTTTAAAAATGTTTTGCTAGTATATAGGTGAAAAAGGGAGAGGGAGATTGAAACCTTAATGGTGAGAGAGACTCACTGATCACACGCCCCACCAGGACAAGCCTGCAACCTGGACATGTGCCCTGAGTGGGAATTGAACTGTGACCTCCTGGTTCATAGTTCATAAGTTGACAGTCAACCTTTGAGCCACCCGGGCCAGCTGGACCTCTCTTCTTTTTTGATGTCCAAAGAGTCCTATATTTGTTAGAGGAGTATAGTTGTAGTTTGTTTGTTTGTCATATCTGTAGCAAATAGTTTTCCCAGTTTGTCTTTTACTTTACTTACGTTTAATTTTTTTTTTCTGTATAAATAACCAGGCAATCACTTCATCAGTTTTTTTTCTTGATGGCTTTTGAACTTTTGTGTCATAATTCCTATGGCCAAAGATATTTTTATCTGATACTTTTATGATTTAACCTTTGGCATTTAAATTTCAGATCTATCTGTGATTTATTGTAGTATAATTAGGTAGAGATTATATACTTCCCCTATTTGTTCTAACGTCATTATTCACAAAACCCAAACACTTACCTTCCTCCAGTGATTTGAAATGCCAAGTTCACCCATGCTAGATAATCCAATGTGTGTGTCTATTTTTGGAAGTCCCTTTTTTCTTCCAAAGCTTTGTCTCTTAGTTCTATTCTACAGCCATACTGTCTCAATTACTGTAGCTTTATAGTAAATTTTAATAGCTCATAATGCTATCTACTGTTCCTTTGTTATTATATATATATATATATATATATATATATTTATATATATATATATATATATATATTTGCTATTCTTTCATATTTTTCTCTTTGGTTCATTTTCAAGTTCAAATGATTCTTGTTGATATTTTATTGATTGATAGTCTATATAATAAAAGGGTAATAGAGAAAGAGAGAGAGAGAGAGAAACATTGATGTGCGAGAGACATATTGACCTGCTGTTTCCTGCATGCACCCCCAGTCTTAGGGGTCAGGAAACAAAGTGGCAGCCCAAATAGTGCCTTGACTGGTAAGAACACCAAGACCCTATGGTGTGTGGGCTAATGTCTTAACCATTGAGCTTGCTAGCCAGGGCTCTGCACACTTGTTATTGAGATTACTCTTAGATGTTTTATATGTTTTTGATGCTTCTATTTATACTAGAGGCCCGTTGCACAAAGATTCATGCAATAGACCTTCCTTCACCTGGCTGTCAGCACCAGTTTTTCTCTGGCACCGGGTACTCAGGCCTTGGCTCTGGCCACTGCCTTCTGCCTTCTTTCAGGGTTCGGGCTTGAACCCCAGGGGCGGTGCTGTGGGGTGGGCGCTGCCGGGCCCCACACTACCATTTGAGATTGGGGCACAGCTGCCGCCCAGTCCCCTCAGTGAGGGGAGACAGGGTAGCGTGTGAGGGCCACCATCTTTGCTGGGTTAATTTGCATAGCTCCCCTGATTGGCTGTGGGCATAATAAAGGAATGGTCGATTAGCATATTACTCTTTTACTAGATAGGATACCCAGTAACATATTGTTTTCATAATTAGTTATGTAATTATTGTTTATATTTTGGAAAGTTATTTTTTATTTATAGCAAGTCACCTTATTTAATTTTTTTTTTAAAAATGTATTTTTTTTATTGATTTCAGAGAGGAAGGGAGAAGGAGAGAGATATAGAAACATCAGTGATTAGGGAGAATCATTGATTGGCTGCCCCCTGCATGCCCCACACTGGGAATGGAGCCCACAAGCCAGACATGTGCCCTTGGCCAGAATTGAACCCAGGACCCTTCAGTCCGAAGGCTGATGCTCTATCCACTGAGCCAAGCTGGCCAGGGCTTATTTAAATTTCTTAGAATGTGTTTTTTTGTTTGTTTTTTTTTTTTGTTCAGTTTATCCTCTTAAATTTCCTAGTTTCACATGTATATTATATATCTTATAAATAATGATAATTTTTATTTTTTCTAGTATTTTGTGTTGTTTAAGGGGAATGCTTTTAAAATATATATATATTTTATTGATTTTTTTACAGAGAGGAAGGGAGAGAGCTAGAGAGCTAGAAACATCGATGAGAGAGAGTCATCGATCAGCTGCCTCTTACACTGCCCCCACTGGGGATATGCCCGCAATCAAGATACATGACCCTTACCTGAATTGAACCCGGGACCCTTCAGTCCGCAAGCTGACGCTCTATCTACTGATCCAAACCGGTTTCGACAAGGGGGATGCTTTTATCAGTACTGGGTTTCTTTCTCCTTCCTCTTATCCTCTCTCTCCCTCTTCAGTTGAATCCTATTCCTCATCAAGTTTCCAGTTTGACCTTGGGCAAGCTACTGACATAAGAAGAAAGTGAAGCTTAGAGAGTTAGTGATGAGAGCCAGGATGCAAACTCGGAAGTGTCTGACTTCAGGGCTCACACTCTAAGCACTCTCTCTTCTGGTCTCAAAAATGATTTTAGACACTTTCTTGTTTCCACTATCTCTCTTCTTTTCCCTTATCAGTTTGTTTATCTCCCTCCTCCCTTCCTTCCGCCCTCCCCTCTTTCTCTCCTTCTCTTTCTTGTTTTAAATTTATTTTTACCTTCCCATCTTCCCTTCTCCTCCCTTTTCCTTCTCCTCCTTCTTCTTTCCTCTCTCTCTTCCTCCTTTCCTTTCTCCCTCCCTATCCTCTATTTCTTCCTCTCCTTTTCTCCCTTCCACTCCACCTTCCTCCCCTCTGTCATTTATCGATTCTCTAAATCTAGTCACCCAACCTCATCCCAGAATGCATCATGTTTGAGTCATTGTGGTGGAAATCTACAATTGATATAATAGGCATCAGCTATACCATTATGGTGACTGGAAGGAGGTATGGTGGACCTCTGGCTTTAAGAACAACGGATTTCATCATGGAGCATATGTCTGTGAGGGGATTTTGTTGTTGAGGGCTTTCTGAATTGGTTGTTTGTTTGCCCTAACCACTTTCATCTCTCCCAAGTTATTCCAAGTTCTTAATTCCTTCACTACTTCAAGGACTCTTGCCGCATATTCTCCCCTTACCTTTCACCACCATATGTCTCCATTTAACAGGAAACACAGCTCACTGTGAGAGTCTTAAATCAAACGACTCTGATTTCTGGAAATGTCATTATTTTAGGAGGGAGCACAGGAGGGAGGGTAGGAAAATAGTTTAGATTTTTGTGGGGAGATGGAAAGCAAGAGGCAAAATAGAAGTTCTGTTGAGAAGACAAGAAACCGGTGATACGTTTAAAAAAACCCCAGTGTGTGTTAATTCTACTATATTTTCTCCACATGATTCTTACATCGGAGAAAGATAGACTGCTTTAAACCAGGGCTTTTGTTAGTAAAGCACAAGTTTATCATAGGTGCTTGAAATGGGGATGGATGAGGAGTAGGAAAAATGACAAAAGTAGAAACATATTACTTGCACGTGATAAAATTTACAACTCTGCTTAGCGCAGGGGAGATAAAAAGAAAGCACAGTCCTTAACCTCCAGTGTTTGTACCCAATGAATCAAACAGCTGAGGAATGGCACTTGGGAATAGAGAGAGTGGTTAACTTGTTCCTAAAGGCTCAATGGTGTTGAATTGGCACATTCTGAACCTGGTGAAAGAGCATGAGAAATAGTTTTGGGGTTTCAGGTTAGTCCTGAACGGGTGGTTTGAGCAAAACATGCGAGGGTGAGAAACGAATGAAAATCTTGGACAGTTAGGGTGAGGTTTAATAGAAGTTTGAGAGTCATGGTAAGTTCTCGGGCACAGAAGTAACAATCACTGGTCCTGAGTCAGAATATGGGCTGACGTTGAGGTTTCTTCTGCCAATTGTGCCAGTTATCATTTCATTAAAAAAAAAATTATTTCCAGTTGCTAGATGGGAATCTTCATGCATTCTCATAGATCTTTCATCAGTGTGGAATGGTCTTTAAGTGATCCTCAGTATATGCTCCAGTGAGTGAAAATCAGAGCTAGCACCAGGATGGCATAAATAGAGAAGGGGGTGAAAACCTGTGTCAGGAGACATACTGGCTGGCTTCCTTCTTTCTTGTAGATAATACGTGATAACTGTTTGAGAGCTCTTTTATGACTATCTATCTACAATGAACGCTGGTACTCATGAGCAGAGAGGAGGCAAGGCTACATTGTCTCCACATTAGCCTCTTGGATAATCCCTCTGTTCTCTCCCATTCTGCAGTGGATGCTGGTACAGCAGGTGGGACTGAGCCTGTGGGGGTCTGGATGGATGGGAGAGGCAGGCTCCCTGACATACTTATCCCCTTCCTTTATCCCTCCTCAGATCAAACAACGCAATGCTTCTATGACCGCAACACGCTTATTTCAAGTGTACCCCTTGCCCTGTAACACACCCAAACATAGGCACTCCTAGTGGAGCAAATACAACTGAAATATGTTTCTAATAGACAGACATTTTAAGGAAAGAAGATCTCCAGATTTGCAGTATGAACAAATACCAAGGTATAAATAGAGTATATCTGCTGGTGCCAGGTATTTGACCACTGAGTGGTCAGCCCATATGGCTGGAGACAGCTTCCTGCTGGCAACACATGCTCTTGGCTCCGTGGGCATTCCTGGCATATTCCAGACACAAAAGCACCTGTGCAAAAAGCTTACCATAAAATTGGTAAATTGATCTTGTGCCTACATTCATTACTATTGGTATAATTAAACGTATATTCCAAAGAGTCTCTTTCGTTGTTGAACATCAGGGGTCTCTCACGGAGTTCTCCGGGTTCACTGAAATAAGGTGACGTTTGCGGACAAGTGGTTACCCAAGCCGTGTGGCACGTACTGGAATCCTCTTGTTTCTCGTTTTCAGCTCACTTGGAAATCGTTCCACTTTCTGTCCTTGCTGGTTTCTGTGTGGAAATAACTCTTCCAACATTTATTCTGTGCTTCTTGTGTTTTCTTTGTTGACAAAACTCAAGTGTGTTTATATGGTGGCTTTAATATACTGAGTTTTCTTGGCCTCCTTAGTTCACCTATTTTTACTTTCCATTAACAATGAATTTAGC